ACAGACAAAGCCTTAGTTTGTTCATATTAAGAGATTTCTTTTATTTGTGTAACTTACTTGTTTGATTTGGGGTGTGTTTTAAAATTTCAATTTAGTTTTGTTATATTTCAATGTCACAAAGAAACGTGCAGCAATAGCCTAATAAAACGACACCTTTTAATTTACTGTATAATGTCTTCAATCTCATTTTGTTAAAAAACATTGTGAGAAAATTGAATTGTGAAATCAAAATTGTGAATCGAATCGTGAGTTGAGTGAATCGTTACATCCCTACTATTAATTCATTTAAATGAGTTCCATTTAAAAACAAGTTTATTGGACAGTAAATTTACCCAATTTTTATTTAGGTATGGAACTACTGAATTACATTTCATGTTTATTTATTTGGCTATACTTTTGTTAAGTACTTGTATATTTTTTACATTTATTTTGATGCTGTACACTTGCTCCTTTTGGTATTGTAAATGCATTGCTGTAAAGGGTGGAAAAAAACCTGAGCATGCCACAGATGCTGTCAAAAGAGCTTAAGTTGTATTGATCCGGAATATTCCTTTAAGAAAATATAGTAGATAAAGAGCTACTGAAGCCTAGGACTGTTTTGTAATTTCTCTCATAAGAATATTAATGGCATACAATACAGTTCAAACGTTTGGGTTAGGGATTATTTAATGTTATTTATGTTTGTTTAATACAAAAATGTATTTCTGTGATGCAAACTGAATTTTCAGCAGCAACTACTCACATGATCCTTCAGAATTCATTCTAATATGCTAATTTGGTGCTCAAGAAATATTACGTATTATGAATTATATTGAATTATTAATTATCACTTATATAATTATCTCCAACTATCAAGTGTTGAAAACAGTTGCTCTTTTGTGAAAACAGTGTTCAAAAGAACAGCATTTATTTGACAGTAAGAGTGACAATCTAAGAGTCTTTGTCACTTTTAATCAATTTAATGCCTCGTTGCTTGACTAAAGTTTCATCTTTGGAAAAAAAAAAAAAAGAGAGTCTCAGAGTTATCAGTGTATTGTAGCAAAAACAACAGCTCAACATGACACTGAAGCATTGACAATGACAGTGGACCATAAAGACACCACAGTAAACAACAACCAATTGATTCTATGGTAATCTATTTATTGCCCTTATTTATTAATTTTGGTATTCAGAGTAAGAAAAATAAAGCAAGTGCAAGTCTTGTTGCATCTGGTAAAACACTCTGAGGTCCAAGTAAAACAGCAGGAAGGATAAATAAAGAAATGTCTGTTAAAATACCCAGCAGGTGTTTGTGTATGAGAGATTGTAGTTGTTCACTAACCTGTACAGCCTGTCTGCCCTGCTGTGCGTCTGCGAGCAGCTGGATGGTCAGCGCTCTGGAGTCCTGCAGTGCTTCCTGCAGGTAGGTGAAACTGTGACCCGCGTGTCTGCCCAAGCTGCACTCTCTACAGATTGGCACGCCGCAGCTGTCACAGAAAAACCGCAGCACCTGTGAAGGAAAACAAGAGAAATGGTGTGAAATTAACAGAGTTGCAGTCCAATTTATTGAGTGATCGATTGTGAAGTACACTGCATGTGAATTTTGTAACCCTCAGAGACCCAAGCATTGATAATACTGACAATCATTATCAGTGATGATAATCAGCCTTGAAAGTGTCTTTAGGAAGACTCTGACTGGATATAAACATTCAGATGTTTGGGCATCTTGATAATCAAGTTAGAAATTGAGAAAAAAAAAGTGCTTGGAAAAGTGTGTGTGTGTGTACTGACATGCAGGCTGATCCAAATTGTAAATATGTCCCTCTAGGTATGTCCCTCTAGGTTTATCCCATAGTTAAAATAAAATTTAAAAGTGAATTCAACAAGTGTGAAAAGGAATCAGTCAGATGGTGAGATTTAATCAGTGTATGTAAAAGGCAAAGGCCACACTTATACTAAAACCACTCTATAATTAAGAGCTCATAAACAGTTACATTGGTCAACTGCCAAGACTATAAATGTTTACAGTAAGGTAATAGGTAGATGTGTTTTCACAAAAGTTATTGTAGAAGCCTACGTTATATAAGCACACTCAAACTCAGAACATTTAACTCTGACAAGAGACAAAAGAAAACTAAAGACAAAGAATATTTTAATGTATGGTGTTAAGGACCAAACATTAAAGGGGTCATATGATGCTGCTAAAAAGAACATTATTTTGTGTATTTTGTGTAATGAAATGTGTTTATGCGGTTTAAAGTAAAAAAAACACATTATTTTCCACATACTGTACATTATTGTTTCTCCTCTATGCCCCGCCTTTTTGAAACGCATCGATTTTTACAAAACTCATCGGTCTGAAAAAGCGAGGTGTGCTGTGATTGGCCAGCTATCCAATGCATTGTGATTGGCCGAATACCTCAAGCGGGAGACGGAAATGTTACGTGAACATTTGGGCTGTGTTATGCAAATCTTCCCACATCGTGATGTAGATATGTGGGGGCGTGTTAGAACGCGCCGTTTTAGGTAGGTGTGGCTAACTCTTAACTTTTATAAAGAATATCTCTTTGGATTTGAGACTTTAGTCTTTACAACTTTACAGATCTTCTTTATGCACCAAGAGCTTGTAACACTCCAAAGAGAAAGGAAAAAATGAAATCGCATCATATGACCCCTTTAAAGAGATTTTACAGCTAATAGGGATGGGTCACAATCGTCCAACATCCAACTAGTCAGTTACCAGTAATTAGTTTATCTAGAGTTTTCAATTTTTTAAAGTGTATATATAGTCAAATTTATCTATTTATCTATTAAATTGTATTTATTAATTTAACTAAAACTAGCCTGTTGATGTGCTGTGCTTTAGCAGCTTACATGGCGTTTTTGTCAAGGTTCTGCCATCTAATAAACAATTTATATAAATGTGATTAATATAAAATATATGAGCATATGCCAAAATTCTACTTGTATACAGTGTTGATATTCAACAGACTAGTTCAATTCTGCCACAAACTTAACACTTAATTTAAAGAATAAGAATGTATGCCATGACACAAAGAATCTGGACTCTTTCAAATGCCTTGGCAAGAAGTAAAAGATCTCTCCCAAAATGGGAATTCAGTCCTGCTTAGGGCTTCCTGTGTTCTGACAGCCTGTCGATGGATTGCCTGAAGTCTATTGTTGTGTCACTCATCTGACCCATTTAAGGATTACTTCATAGTTGTTTTAAATATATTTCTATATATTGCCTAAAAAGCACTTTCAAAGTACAAGCCTTCTTATTAACGTTCAAGAAAAACGTTAAAAATAAATGAATTAATAGATATCATTTATTTTATTTTTTTTGCAATACTTGCATCAAAAGCTAACCGGATCCATTTAGGGTAACACTTCCCTGAGAATAATAACTAAAAGCTGAAACCGTGTAATTGGCCTGAACTCAGTATCACCCAAACAAATTCTCCACCTTCCTCCGAGTGAAGCTCAGTGTCAGGTAGAGTATTCCTTTTCAAAACCTGCTAGACCGCCTTCCTGCAACCTAATGACTTTACCAAAGACCAGATCAAACGCTAATTATATCTCACTTGGCTATACGGCAGCTGTGTGTAAATCTAGAGTCATGATTCCACTCGAGTTACCTGCTCGTAAAAGCGGGTCCCCTCTCTGTGGACCAGATGCTACAACTGCACTAGTGTGTACAGAGGTCACATGGAACCACTTTTTGGGAAGCAGCTTTTCAGAGTGACTGGAATTAGGAGGAAGCAACAGAGAGGTGGCGGGAGGAAACTTACCACCCAAGACTCCCGTGTTCCGTCTGAAACATTTATGTAGCAATGGCCCTGTTCAATTACGTCAAGTTTCACAAGCACAATGTGTAGCACAACTATATTTGCAGGGGCTGGTGGATCCAGTGACTTTGCATAACTGTTTCTCATGCCCAGGAACTGTGTGGACATTGTTAGCAGAAGCAGCGTTTCCTGGTAAAGTCCTAAATTATTCCCACGATGTAACTATTAAGCCCAAAGTATACCTCAGTTTTAACATGAACGTGTGGGTGTATGCATACAGCAGAATGCATAGCTTTTTTTAAAGTATAGTCAGTTTGATAGCAAATGCTAGCAAACGGCACTCGACATACAGTATGCGCACAAGTTTCATCTTTGTCCAGTGTCTGCACCATTTCTCTCCAGAAATTATGACCAATAAAAATGTCTTTTTGCTTGTTTTTTGTACTCCACAGTTGTGGCGTTGCATTTCCCTGTTGTTCTGCCTTATCAGTTTCTTTCAACTGTGAAACACTGTGCCGGGCCAGTGTTATGGACCAACAAATTAGTAAAACAAACAAAAAAAATATACAAAAAATGGGGTGTGTGCTAGACAAGCATACACAATACGTGTGATTAGAAAAAACTTGGCTGCACCCAGTATATTCTGACTGTAATTTGCCTTATTTACTTGTTTGTATATTCATTTTACAGGGAGTTTTTGGCCCCAGTGATGAGGAGAACAGCAGGATGGAATGGGATTTTCTTTGGCTATGTGGATGATGCATTTTTTCCTCTAGTGTGCTACACATATACATAACTTGACTTTCCTGTTGGCCTCTTCTCCTGTACGCTAAAGCTATCACTGTAACGACTGACTGGTATATAAATCTTTGACAAAGTACACATGCTTCTTTTCCTGCCTGTGCATTGGCGTCCATTACCTCGCACACTATCTTCTACACTGGACCCAACTTTTTCACTGTTGCTCACCCCCGCCACCTTCTCTCTCTCGGATGAGGGCCTCTTGTTGTGACTGTGGCATCCACCAGTTTTTCCTTAAAAACAGGTGGGGAAAGATACAATTTCTCCTCTCAGAGGTAAAGAAAAGCTAGTTAATTTTTCAGGAACAATTAGAAGTGTCCTGCTGAATGAAGCTTCAGTTTTGGTCAGCTAACACGGAGTTGCTTCCATGATGCTAGAGCAGTGGTGCTCAACCAGGTGGCCTTAGAGGGAAAATTAATTATATAAATTTAATTTATATATACATATATAATTATGACATTCCAATCCTAAGATATGGCTCTGGTCCCTTCTTCAATGTAATTTGTCTCCCATTTTATTGCATACAAGGAGAAAATCGCAAGTCTGAATCTCTTATGTGATGGACCATCAATAATTCATGATTCAAGTCTGTAGGACACAATTTTTTTGCAAGACGAAGAATGTGCTGAAGCCTAACACTTATGATTATAGGTTTTTCAAATCCGTAACCATAAGTATTGAGCTATAGTAACTGTGATGCATTCCTTAGAAAGTACAAAAACAATCAATGTTGGAAAATACATAGATTCCAATGGTGAAAGTAAATGTATCTGAACAGATTCGTAATGTCTCAACCACATTTAGGTGAGCATGTGTGTTCACTTTATGGCATTAAAGAGAAGTTTTATCTAAAACATGTTTTTCTAAGTGATGCCACATTACTGCAGTATAATAAAACATTTATTGCAGTGTATATCAATACTTCATGTATCACAAAAGAAAAGTCTACGAATCAGATCATGGCCCAAGTACCATAATAATGGATTGTGAAAATTCAAGCGATTTGCACCCTTATGACAGAGTATTCCTTGGTTGCAAACAGGTTTGAAAGCAATTAAATCCATCTTTCCGTAGTTCTTCACCATTATAAAGTCAGGCTGAAGTAGAGGGATGTTTACCCATGGTGGACCCGTTTAACAGAACAACAACCATCATGTCGGAGACTACATACTAGGCATGGGCCGATTACCGGTTTCAAGGTATACCGCGATTTGAAAATGTCACGGTTTCAAAACCGCTAATATTTTCCGTTATACCGTTCCTGCGGTATGCACTGTTTTTCATGTCTCCTCAAAGACTGACGCCCCATTCACACGGGGCGTCGGCGTCAACGCCTCTCGTTCACTTTGAATGGAGTGACGTCAAGCGTTGCCGAATTGAATTGTGGGTCTGTTGCGTCGCGTTGGGTCCGTTGCTCGCGGCAGAAGTTGAAAACTTTTAAACTTTTCAAGCTCCTTCCTCCTGTTGGTGCGAGCGAGCGGTCAGTCACGTGTGTGTTGCAATGCAATTGTTTTCCAAAATGTCATTTATGTGAAAATATGAAGTCTGTAAATGCCCGTTAACACAGGCCAAGACGGACGCACAGAGAAAAATACTGTAGCAGGCAGATAACTCGCTGTTCATGATGCACGAACTATTGGAAGAAAATCCTCAATATTGATTTGGGGGTTTATATGAACGTGTTTCTGAGGGGAACTGACTGTCTTCAGAAAAGTTTACGTGGTATTTTCTTTTAATCTCGTCTTTGTATACTTCATATTAAAGCAGTGTTTCAGCGCAGTGCTGCTTTGTTTATGGCGGTAACCAAGGAAACACAGTATCTGGTGTTCCTGAAGCGCCTCCTGCTGTCAGAGAGTGAATACCCAGTCATTTAAAAATAACACATTTTAGAGCCGTAACGACAATACCGTGATACCGTGAT